AAGTTAAGTTAATAAATTCGATAGCTCGAAGCACTGATGAATTGATTTAAAATCCAAATTTTTGCGATCTCCACATGCCCAAACGGAGGCCGGTTTTGGGGGAATTTTCGGCTTAATTTCAGCTTGTTTTCAACACTCACCAGTTGGGTTTGAACATTTTTTAGTCGACTAATTTTCAGCTGCAATTGACCCAAGAACACGAAAATGAGCCCATAATAGCCATACATCGAACCGATGTGTTTCCCTACATACTTGCTTAGCTTAAGTTAGTTTCGCGTCACATATTGAAAGCTCTGGCAAAGCGAAACTTTTCCGCCTTAACAAAGAAACTCCCGTTTAACTAAGATGGAAAGGAACAAACGCAAGCTCGGTAAACAAGCGCTGAAACCGGAAACTTTCCACTGAGGCCTTTGTGGCTTCGAAAAATGCTCTTATTCAAATCGGTTAATTCTTATTGCGAAGATTTGCGATTGAAAAGTGGTCGATATTGCCAAACTTGCCAGACAAGCGGCACGATTTGATTTGGCCAGGATTTGGGTTTTCCTTCAATAAATAGTTTAAAGGTGGATTAAGTTTTCTGGGGGCCGCATAAAACGGATTTCTCCTAGCAAAGGAAAATTTCGAGAATTTCCCCATCAATTTTCTCTAAGTGACCCCGATTATGATTATGCCCCGAAAATCTGTGATGCACGACATCAATCCTAGTCGATTTGGGATGACGGATTAAGCGAACCTGAAACCTTTTATCAAATCCTCTCTATTTACTATCGCTCGTTGACCGACGGGACAATATTGGGAAAAATGCCCTAAAAAAAATAAATAAAACCAGTTTTAAGCGATCACATTTTATTCACAACCTTCATTTATTATGGGTTTCTTCCCAGTAACTAAACGGCTGTTGTGGCCAGTTTGTTGGTTGTAAGAATGCTGAAACACCAAACTTTCATTAGCGTTTCACTAGCAAAAGCCTTTGGAGGAGATAGAAAATAAAAAGTTTGGTCAATTTTCAAGCAGTTTTCTCGATTGCTACTGAATATGGAAAGTTATTCGGATTTCTGGCGCAATTTTTACATAAAATTAGCACCATATCGAGAGGCAATTTTTCGAAAGATCAGTTTTAAAAAAAGTCGTCCTGGACCCATCGACTTGGTACTAATTTTCAGCTGAAATCCCCCTGAAGTCCAAAAATACCTGCAGTATTCCGCATTGTTCTGCTAAAATTCTAGCATAGAACGAGTGAGGCCTGGGTAACACTGTGTTGAGTTGCGCTTTTGAGTTGTTGCCGCTCTCTGAGCGGCTAATGAGTTTAACTCGTTGGTTAATGAGTTATAACTCATGGCCGATGACGAAGAAAGCCGTCAACATATTGCTTTTGCGCATACAATTACTTAAAACTATTTGGTTTAAAATGGGAAAATCCAGAAATTTTGATGAAACTTAAAAAAAATTCATAGCTTTGAGGCTGACGAGTTTTCCAAATATTGATATATTTTTGATTTCTCTGGTCGTTTTTTGAGAAAACCTAAATTTTGTCGGCAAAAAAACAAGAACTCTGATTCTAAAACAGAAATTTTGATAAAACTAAACAATTTCAGAACGTTGGGGGGGACGAGTTTTCCAAATATTCATTATATGCTTTTGCTTTATCTGGTCGTTTTTGGAGAAAACCTAGATTTTTTAATAATTTGTTTCGATTTTGTCCCAAATTTAAAGGTAAAATGGGTATTCGAAAAATACGATAAAAAAGACCAAACTGTAAAGACGACGACTTTTCTTGTAAATCCATTTTTTTAACTTTTTTGCATAAAAGACTTTCAGTTTGCCAGTATTTTACAGTAAAACGTTAGGAAAAAACGCGTTGTTCTGTTTAGAGAGAGTTTTGTATAGAAATATTGACATGAAAGTGAAGAAATTGGAATTTAAATAAACCAAATTATTCACAGCGACAAAAGTGACGAGTTTTCCGAATAATTGATTCTAAACTTTCACTTGTTCTGTTCGGGAAAATATTTTYGGGAAAAAATCCAGMAAAAATGATTAGGGTTTTGYYCAAAATTCGAAGCTGCAAAAGGTTCCAGACAAAAACATTACAAAGCTGTTCAGGAGCCGRGTGTTTCAATAAAATTTATTTTATAATTTTTGAAGAAAATACCTGAAGATTGTTAGTATTTTAAGCAAAAATTACATGTTTTTTGGGTAGAAATAATTGCTTAATGGAAACTTTGCTAAAACTGGAATTACCTCAAATTTGAAAGAAACTTGAAAACTCTTCAGAGCGAAGAGGGTGGCGAATTTTCCAAATAATTTTTTGGAAACTTTTGCTCTGGCCGTTTTTTCATGATAATCTTAATATTTTCGGTAGAAAACTGAATAAAGTTTTTGGTTTTTGTGCCAAATTCGAAGCTAAAAATGGTTTTCTAAAGTTCCCTGCAAACCGATGAATGAGGTGAATTTTCTAGCAAAATTTATTTTCTAATTTTTGGTTGAAAAGACCCCATTATTGACCGAAACGAAAAAATCATCAGAAAATAACGTTTTTTTGCGTTTTTGAGTAAAAACTTTTAGTTTTGTGATCGGTTTTTGCGAAAACCTTGATGATTTCCGGGAAGAAACGGAAAGAATTTATTTTCGTTTTTGTCCCAAATTGAAATTGTCCGGACGTTGAAAAGTTTTGGTAACAATCCTACGAAGCTATAGAATTATCTTGTAATTTTTCGCGTAAAAGACCTTCAGATCGTCAGTATTTTTAAGTGAAAATTTACAAAATAGAGCGCTTTTGAGTGGAAAGTAGAGTAAAAAACCACATTTTTTTAACAAGCTCTTCAGAGGAACGACGGTGACGATAATTTATTATAAACTTTCACTTATTCAGTTCGTTTTTTGTTAGAAAATTATTTGATTTTGGTCCCAAATTTGCGAGCAAAGAAACTGAGTTACTGCGCCGGTGCATTGGGTTGGCGCACCAACAAATTTGCGTAGCACTGCGCCAACTCCTAAAAATTCATTGAGTCACCCAGGCCTAGAACCAGTCTCTTGTTCGACGACATTTAAAACAGAAAAACCTACTTACACTGTTGGAGTATCAGAAGCGGCCGGTTGAGCCCATCGACGAAGAATCCTGTTCCTGAACAGCTGCCCGAACGTGATCCTGAACATGCGATTCATGCTGCAGTAGAGGATAAAGTTGACCGAGCCATTGAGGATGGCGCAAATATCCATCACTTCCCCATAATGCTGGTAGCAGGTGAGGAAGAACTCCTTTCCCTCGAGAGCGATCACCAGGGCAAACAGCCCTTGAGGCAGTTCAGTGAGCAGGAACAGAAATAGGATCACCACTAACATTCGCGTCGTTCTATCGGCCCTCCTCTCAAATTTCTTCTGCCTCCCATTGAGGACCAGCGGGTTGTTCTCCTTCAGCATCTGCCTGCCGCGCTTCGCCCTGAACAGGGTCCGGATCAGCCAGAAACTGATCACAATTAGAATGAGGCAGGGCAACAGTTTGAGGAATATCGAGTAGATCCAAAAGTTCACTTTGAGTAGAGTTTTGTAGTTTTCGATCGTATCGCTCAGCCCCACGCGGTACAGGGTGTACACAACGCCCTCTTCCTCAATGTCAATGCTTTCGATCTTGAAGGTGACGTACTGAGGCAGGCAGAGGAAGATGGGAAGAACGTAGCTGGAGTAGATGGCAACAGTGCAGCGCCTGTGCGAGCACAGAACGTGGTTCTTTTCGATGAATCTGGAAAATTGCCAGATTAGAAACAAGAAGAAAGAAATTGAAAACTTAGTACTGTTCAAACATAAATGTTGGTACCTGATGGCAAGGAACCTCCAAACGGCCAAAGTGAGCGTCAAGCAAATGGAGGTGGTGTGCAACACTTGGCTGACATGGATATGGAAAAGAATAAAAATCGCTCCATTATACGTGAGTTCCTTCGTCTGCGAGTCCCATTTGTAGTAGACGGTGAATGGAATGTACTCCAGCATCAGCAGTATGTCGGCCCAGGCCAGAGCGGTCAGGATGCGATTGATCGGAGCGCTGGCCATGTCCTTTCTGCTCAGAACCATAATATTCAAGCAGTTGCTCACGATGCCCAAAACGCAAACCACCACCGCACAGTACGGATGGTACTCTGAAGCGTACACGGTGGCCCAAATCTTCAGAGGACCGCCGCAGTCCTCCAGCTCGGCTTTCGTCCAATTGGACGCGCTCATTCTTCGGCTGTTTCCCGATCAAGCCTGCCCAAACGGGTGCTCGGGCATGTTTCTGGAACGATTAAAGTGTTAAAGGAATTGATTGCTGCAGTTGAAATTTCCAGCACACGCCACTGATTAACAATTGGACTTTTATTAGATTACTTAACATTCATGGAATGTCTTAGCTGCGACACGTTCCCGACGGGTATTGAAAGCCGGCCAGGGTTTAAAACATTTTATATTCATTTCGGTTCTTCGAAGTACTTTGAAGCGCAAAAAGCGTTTTGCGATTGGCGTTGTTGGGCGCAAATGAACTTACCAGCAATTTTCACATCTAACCTAAACATCTAAAAAATGAAGGGCAAAACGGCCAGAGGAAGTTAAAGTGTTTAAGCGAAAAAAACTGTTGTAAATTTACGCCAAAATCCCGGAAAAATGGGGCAAGACTTAACAATTTCAACAGCATTTTAGGCAAAAAAATTCATTTCATTTCAGTTTCCATCACTCAAAGAATCCAAACGAATTTTCAACCTCCTACCTAAACACTACTTACACTTGAGGACAAGTTTTCCTTTACAACCCGCGGCTTAAACTCCGCAACTTTCAATCGGACCGCTTTGATCCAATGAGCGCCAAACGTGGGAAAACACTGAGCGCTTTTCAATTTTCCGGCTAGAGTTTCCCCGTTAGCGCATGAGCTCTGTTTTGGGAAACTTTTCAGATTAACAACAATTTTAGCTGGAAATCTTTTTTTCAGTGGGGGATCAAACAACTGTAGAAAAACACTTTTTCCCGAAAACACTTAAGCTTAACATAAATCCTGGAAACTTCCTAAGCAAGGAATTCCTCTACACTTCGTCTTCTTGCATTTGGCTCCTGATCTTCATCTGCTCGGTTCCACTATTCTCAACTGAAGCACCTGGCGGCTGTTCAGCGGCTCTGGAAGACTGCACGACCAGCAGCCGATCCATCAAACTTAAAATCTACAAAACCCCGACTTTAGCAGCTGAAGAACCCAAATCAGAGCCCAATACCTCATTAGAAACCTGATGTCCCTCATCGATTAAGACCTTGAACTTGTTGAAGAAATCTTCGGATTCTTCGTAAAACCCCAACAGCTCCAACATCAGACTACCATTAGCCAACAAAGACACATCGGATGGCATCAAAACAAGAGCTTGCTTGAGGGCTCTTAGGGCATTCTCCGTGTCTTTTAGCTCAAACAATGTATCTACAAAATATGGCGAATGCGCTCTAATCAGCTAATTGCATGTTAAGATCGCAGTCTTTCGGACAACTGGGGCTTTAATTAATCCGTCTCCAAGGGCAGAATGACCCTCTGGTAATCGAAAGAGCGCATTAAACCCTCCTAATGTGGCTCAAATGCAATTTAGTTTATGGAGCCCCCAGTTGACCAGGGCTGATTTATCGGGCGGAACAGAAACAAATTGAATCGCTCTAGCTGTTTCAACTCGACGCGTTTTGGAAAAGTGGCTGAACTCAACAGCTTGATACTCAGTGCCTGATGATGGCAACGAGCTGAAACTTGGTGAGTTTAGAGAGTCGACTCTTCGCGATAAAACGCCCCGAAAGCCAACTCTTTACCCTCCAACCAGTTAAATCTCCCCAATAAAACCCCACCCTTCGCAACACTCCATCTAATCTTTCTGATAAAAGTTGGACGTACTTACATCCCAACAAAGCAAAACAGTCGCCCACATCCGGACGCAAATTAACCGCAGCGCAGGCAAAATTGAATCCAGATGCTGGCTGATTGGTAGCCAGATGGACCAGAGCCAGATTGTAGAGGATTTTCCAGTTCAACGGCGATATCCAGAGGCCTCGTTTCAAGCAGCTGATGGCCTGCCAATCGGGCATGTGTATGCAGGCCGAACCCTGGATGATTCACTTACCGCAATGTACTTTTGTTTGGAGTAGAAGCACAGGCCGATGTTGTTCCAGAGTGCCACGGATTCTGGCTCGTAAAGCACGGCGATTTTGTACTTGGTGAGCGCCACCTCAAAGTCTTCGTGTCTCTGCAAGAAAACTGAAATGTTCCCAAAGGAGATTGAGTGGTGAGTTTCCTACGTGAGTGATGCATCCTATGCCCAGCAGGGCTTTGGAACAGGCTGGATCCAGAGCCAAGGCTTGGCTCAGGCGCTCGAAAGCGTGCTGAGTCTGGCCAGTCTTCAGATACAGCAGGCCAGACTCGGTCAGCAACTGGACACTGTCTGGACAGAACCTGGAACAGCAATTTGCCAGATTTTCTACTAGTTGACCGAACTGAACCTACTCAGCAGCCGCATTCCCTACGGCAATGGCCGAGGCGAAGTCTTTCTCTCCAACCAGGAGTCTGATCAGCAAAGCGTAGGATTCCTCTTGTTTGCCAACTTTGACGCTTTTGTGCGCGTACTCTTTGGCCTTCTGGCTGTTTCCAAGTTTCACATAAGTTTTCGCTGGAAATAACGTGGATTCCTTTTCATGGATGCGCTACTCCATAAGCTCATTAGCGAGCATCGGAATGTCTGGGTTAGAGCGACTTACCAATAAGATAATCCAGATTCCAGTCGGGATTTTTCGAAAGTTTCTCAGCCTCCAAAAGGGCGTTGAGGGAGAGCCGATAGCGCCCCATTTCGTAGCTGAAACATTATTGCGAAGTTGCCCTGTTTTCCTTAGTTTTCGGCCCTAACTCAAAGCCTGATGTTCAGCTTCAACCTCCCAAGGTTTCCTGGGTTTAACTGCTAAATTATTCAATAACGGAGACTTACAGACAACTGGCCACTTCCTTGAGAATATTGGCGTTTTTCTGGTTCAGCTTCAAGCACTTCTGGAACGTGTCCAGAGCCTCTAGGATATTGCCCTGGCTTTTGAGGATCACTCCCTAGAAGCAGAGAGGGATTTTCCCTGGGAACTCCCCTAGAGCTGTGACTAACTTGTTTGAAGAAGGCATATTCGTTTTTTCCATGACTGCGCGCCATTTCTCCATTAATCAACTCCTTGCAGCTGGCAATTTCGCCTCGTACGTGTTGCAGGTGAATCAACCAATTCAGCTTCTCCATGGGAGGAAACTCGCCCACATCTTTGGCCAGCTGCTTACCTGAAAGTTGGTGTTCCAGTGCACTGGGAGAAGCATGAAGTGGGAAACTTACCGATTTTTGTTGAGTTAGAAAGTGCTTTGCCATTCAGCAGCATTTTCCTCAAACGTTTCCCAACAATCGCCTCTAAACACTGGGTTTTAAACAGTGTTTGTTGGCTTGTTGCCCTGGCAACAACACTTGCTTGTTTTGCCCGACATTGAGGAAATTTCACGGAGGTTGTCAAGTGGGCGATTAAAACACAGCATATCCGGATGGGACATTTTTTATTGCTGATATTTACAGAGGTTTGCTGCATGAAGTCATCCGAGTCCCCCGCCGGCTAAAGAACCCAGCAGCTTCGGATCGATTCGGTTATCCAAAGTGAAGCCGACTGGTAGCTGATTATTGACCTTCTTCCGCAGCTGCGTGATTGGTCTGAAGCCGTTTTCATCGGCCACATATGTGACCACAGTGATCACTCCGTCTTCTTCAAATTCATATGATCCGGACACTGAAAGCGCGCTTCCAGTAGGGGTTTTCTTCAAACTGCCCTCTTCGCTTCGTTCGCTTCCATCTGCCGTTTTGTAGCTGAAGAGCGAAGACAGTGTCGAATTGCCACTTGAAATAATACTGGACTTCACTTACCCAAAATAGTATCCATTGGGATTAAAGTCATTAACGTAGAACGTGAGCGACGCCCTTATAAGCAGCGAATTGCTCCAAACCAGCACGAAAATCACACCAAACCGACAATGAACCGAATCCATTCTATGCAGGATGCTTCTTCTCGATTTCTTAATGCCACTTGGATTTATACTGAACGCAGTTTTGTTTTTTGTACAAACTTATAAAAAACGTCCAGATTCTGCATTGTAAGCCGATACAATACCAATTTGCAGTGGCGCCCCGCCATGCTGCAGCTCTGGATTCTTCGGCTAATTGAATTAATATCAGCAAGATACGCCTCTGGCTCGATTATGATCACCAATCGGATTTTTCCGCGAGCGCTGCCCATCTTCCAACAATTCGTCAAGGTTGGGCTCGAAAAGATCATCAAGAATCATGAAATCGCGAAAAAAATACACCAATTAAATCGTTACGTTTCCTTTATCGCATCGGCAGGTGAGAAAAATCTGATTTTCGTCAAAAAGAAACCAGAATTCGTTAGAGCAAGGTTTTGTTGAGGTGTCGTCAAAGTTTCGAACTGTGCACACCTTCAGGGAGTTTTTTATTCTCTTCTATAGACAATCGATGCAATCGACGCAAGCCATGCGAATAATTTGAGTTTTATGAAATCTGGAAAAGCGCGAATGTTGCCGATTTTTGCATAAAATAGCGCATACCATACTGAATGTGTTGTGAAAGTTTCGAGTTGCAGTCGCCTTCAGCGATTTTTTAATGCATTTTCAAACACATGCGATTATAAAGAACACCCAGCGATTTTTGGCAAATGTTTCGAAATTAATTAATTTTTGCAAATCGACGCCCAAAATTAAATTTCTGAATGTCGTATTCAATAGTGTGAAACCTACTTAATGCGCTCTGAATGTTCTGAATTCGATACTCCCTAAAGGATTTTTTTACAAATTTACAAACTTATGCGACTATAAACCACACTCATCGACCATCTGCAACCGTTGAGAAAAATCAAAATTTCTCAGAACCCAAGGCAGCCCTGACGAAGCCGATCGTCATATTAAGGATCTAAAACCTTGCTTAATGTTTACGGAAAGTTTCGAATTGATGCCATCTTCAAGGAAAATTTAATGAATTTTTAAACTTGCGCTATTTTCTTCAAAAATAAACCAGAATTCGATATAACAAGGTTTTGTTGAGGTGTCGTCAAAGTTTCGAACTGTGCACACCTTCAGGGAGTTTGTTATTCTCTTCTATAGACAATCGATCCAATCGACGCTAGCCATGCGAATACTTTGAGTTTTATGAAATCTGGAAAAGCGCGGATGTTGCCGCTTTTTGCATAAAATAGCGCATTCCATACTGAATGTGTTGTGAAAGTTTCGAGTTGCAGTCGCCTTCAGGGATTTTTTAATGAATTTTCACACACATGCGATTATAAAGAACACCCAGCGATTTTTCGCATATGGTTGGAAATTATTTCATTTTTGCAAATCGACGCCCAAAAATAAATTTATGAATTTCGTATTCAATAGTGTGAAACCTACTTAATGCACTCTGAATGTTCTAAACTCGATGCTGCTCCCTAAGGGATTTTTTCATAAATTTACAAACTTATGCGACTATAAAACACACTCATCGACCATCTGCAACCGTGGAGAAAAATCAAATTTTCCCAAAACCCAAGACAGCGGTGACAATGCCAATCCTTCCATTCAAGATCTAAAACCTTGCTTAATCTCTACGGAAAGTTTCGAATTGATGCCAACTTCAAGGAACATTTAATTAATTTTTAAACTTGCGCTATTGCAGACGACATGGACTTTCCGCACCAGTCTGAAAAAGCAATTATTTTCTCTCAAACAAAAAGGGCTAGAAAGTAGCGGACTTGGGAATTCAATAGCTTAAAAGCTACGTTACATGGTTTAAAGGTTTCGAATCATTACCCCAATCAAAAAATTGAACACCCGACAAAACTGTTCAGATGAATCATCATCCTTTTTCTGTTATTGCTACCGTGCAAGGACAACGATACGGATCTAGGATAAGCCATCCTTGAACCCATGCCCATTAAATGGAACGAATAGGAACCTTATTGTTTTTTTCTTCTGCTTCAACCACGATCTGTGTGGTAAGCATGACACGCATTATATCAATAAATAATCAGTTTCTGCTTTAGCCAAAGGAACTCGTGCATACGGCTAGTGAACCCATTAATTAAGGGAGTTTTTCTCCTGTTTTCCAAAATGTTCAGTCGAGATCAGAAAACCGTTATCGAAACAAGCCAAAAAATGGATTTTGCCGCCACCAGAGAGGGAAAAACTCAAATCAATACTTTCATCTGGACAATGGCGGATGCGCCCCAAAGTCCAAACTTTAGTTTGCAGCCTAAGGCAATACTAGCTTCAGTCAAAGTACTTTGGTCTTCAACTCAGATTTGATATTTCCCAGTTTGGATCTCAGCCAAATTCTCAAATTGAGGAAGAACCTGAACGTAGTTTATTTGTAAACAATACATCCCCTTCTCAAATACTCAAAATATTAACAATCTGTCGAAACGTACCTTTTCTTTCCAGCCAGTTCAACTGGAAATACATCCTGATTGCTTATTATCCAGACATCAGGCATGCGACCAAATTCGAGGCGAAGTGAGCCCTTGAACTTGGTCCTCCTGTTGCTCTTCGACGAAGGGATTAGCACAAATTTCCACGCCTGTTCCATGCTGGATCCGACGTGAATCAGCAAGTGGTCGACAAACAGACAGTTTCGGTCCAGATTTCGCGCTGCTGAGTCGCACGCTGATCCAGATCGGGCAAAGTTCCCGTGCTTGAACTATCGAAAAAACAATGCGTAAGTGAAGTTTTAGTGGGATTTTTGTATGTAGCTGTGGATCGTTTTTGTCAATGTCTTAAGAACTAATTTAATTCGACTATTCAGTTAGAGGACAGGGGCCGATTTTTTGGAGTTGTGTTATCAAGCCCCGTTCTAACGCCCTTAACGTTGCAATTTTTGGCCCCGAAAACCTCAAATAACTGAAAAGTTCCAAAAACCTCGCATTTACGGCAAATCATTTTGGAATCTTGCAAGCAATTACGAGCGACGAGCAGTGACATAAACCGGTGAAGCATCCTCCACTCAGTTTCTTTAGTGTCCCATAAACGCGACAAACTACACAGCGGGCTTATTTTCACTTTCAAATTAGACAATTACTTGCCAAGTTGTTCTTGCTTCGATTTTCCACGCTATTAGACTTAACGGTGCAGAATAAAATTGAGGATTTTCTTCACAGGACTCGAGTTTTATTCGTTCAGTGACGTTCAATCGTACATAATCGCGAAAAACTCCGGATAAAAAATAACGAAAATCTTTAGCAAAGAAAAACCTAAAGGAAATGGTTCAAAATGGTTACTCCGCAATACTTTTGGCTTTGGCGCAGCGCCGTTCGCACCTCCTTAATTCAAAATCGGAAAAGCTGCGTTCTGAACTTTTTCTTCTCAGGAAAAACTCCAACCCCTCGTCAACCCATTTTTTCAATTTTCAAAGTGGTTTTGCTGCTGCTGCTGCTGCTGCTCAGATGGCCGTTAGAGTCCAATGCGCATCAGATGAGGCATGTGGAAGAGGAATTCCGGTACTACAATGTGGGAGTTCTGATGGCCTCCAACCTCAATTACCCGTTCGATTTGGAGAGGTGCGGCCCTGCCGTCGACATGGCTTTGGAGGAGGTGAATGAAAAATTCCTCGCTCAGCATCGAATCAAGCTTTTGAAGGTCCAGAAAAGGTGAGCGAAGCTTTGAGGCCTCCAATTGTTGCCCACTCCAACTGGCTCTACTCACCCCTGTACCTTTGCATGCAGCGGATTCAAGGCCCCAATTAGCTGATATTTAAATAAGTTATTGCAGGCTTCAATATTCAAGGGGCGTCACTTCGTCCAATCAGGGCCATTTCACTGTCCACGCATCGTCCTATAATTTGCTCTGATTCGTCGCCTATTGAATTACGGTTTTAGTCATTGCTTGATTGGAAATGCAGAAAAACTATGTATGTATCTAGGTAGGTAGGTTTTTGTGGAAAAGCCTGGATTTTCCTTTTCAATTATTGGCGTTTTCTTTGATCTTCTGGTCAGTCGGAGACAGGGGAAATTGAAACCGCTATGTATGCATTAGGGTCTTACGGCCAATTTTTTGAGCCCCCAGGGGGCCTCGATGGCAATAAATTTTCCTGCAAAATTCTGAAACTGCCGAAGAATAAAATTTCCTACAGACCTGGTCGTAAAGCTTTAATAACTCCGGCGAACGTGCCTTATGGTGCAGCCCGATGGATGTGGGGAAATTAATAAAACATTGAAAACCGAGCTCATGGGGTGATTGGAGGAGCGCCATTATCAAGCCATGTTTGTTTTTCCTCCTCGTTTCACAGACCATTACGCCAAAACACTCTAATTACTCAATTTCGATCAAAACGGTAAACTGGCAAGTTTTGCGTGCACCTCGTAGCAAAACAGGCGCAGCCGAAAGGAGCCGACGTTGCTCGGGCGTATAGGCGTCTATGCGTGGAAGTGAGAGCCACATACCAGTCGACTTGGGACCGGCGGAACTACCAGGGCTGATCGCAAAGTTGGCAACAAAGTCGCCCAGTCTGGATTTTCCTAGTTGGAAATTTCCCGTTCGGAACATGAGCCTACAGCGCGGAAGCCCAAGCTCGAGCTCATTAGCGGAATATTTTAAGCAGTAATTGTGGGCTGCTTTATCACCAGACCCAGAGAAAAACGACCGCCTTGTTAGAACCTCACTGGACAGGAAAATGCAGACATTTATTGCTTTTTCCCATTATAAATCGAGCTCGAGTATATAAATTTAAAAAAATCTCTGGTGCATTAATAGGAGTCGTACGTGTGTAACTTTCTCAGAGGCGGAGCAATGGAGTATTTGGCGAAGCGATTTTGAATTTTTTGTGTATCTATTGCTTTGCAAACTGAAAAAGTGCTTTTCCCCCAAGTTACCCTTCGTGCAGTGGCGTGCTTGCCCCGGGATTGGCGTCCGACATGCACTTTGTATCCGATGTGATCGCTTTCATTGGTCCAGCCTGCCTGTTCGCCTTGGAGCCAGTGGCTCGATTGGCTGCCTACTGGAACACCCCCATCATTACCGGAATGGGCGATCAGGTGAGGATTTCTGGTCCTCTTAAGGGCAGCTTTTGAGTGAAACTTCCCCGCTTGTTTCAGCCACCGAGTGAAGGCGAGCTTTCAGTCACATCTCGCATTTTGGGCAGATACAACCCGAGCAATAAAACCGACAGCGCCGTAAGTAACAAGGGAACAAACCCAAGGGCGGATCCANGGGGGGGGGGTCATGGGCCAGGGGGGCCATTCAATTCTCTATCCAACGATGCCAAAACGAATTATCTGGGTTGAATGGTTCTTGAGAAACTTCGAAAAAAGCAGCGTCATGTTCAAGTGGATTTTGCAACTCAAAAAAAAACGACGCAAATCTAAACCTTCTTGAATTCAAGCATTTTTTGAGAAAACTGCCAACATTTCCTTATCGATGGTACACTTTCTAAAAAGGCCATTTATTTCTGTCTAGAATGATGTACAAATGAGCGTTCTTGCTCATTTTGCCTCCGAAATATGAGCAAAAACGGGACGGTAAAAATAAATTTTGGCATAATCTTGCACCTAAGTGTCTGATATTCAAATTTCGCTTTCTGGGCCAAAACTATTCGAATTTCGTCACTCACGTTGTTACGACTGAATCAACTTTTCAATTCTCTATCCAACGATGCCAAAACGAATTCTGAGACTCGAATGGTTCTTGAGAAACTTCGAAAAAAGCAGCGCCATGTTCAAGTGGATTTTGCAACTCAAAAAAAACCACGCAAATCTAAAACTTCTTGAATTCAAGCATTTTTTGAGAAAACTGCTAACAATTCCCTCTCCATGGTTCACTTTCTAAAAAGGCCACTTATTTCTGCCTAGAATGATGTACAAATGAGCGTTCTTGCTCATTTTGCCTCCGAGAAATGAGCAAAAACGGGACGGAAAACATGAAATTTTGGC